CTCGAAAAGTTGGCTATAGCACATCTTGCCTAGACTCTTAATGATGATTCTGGTCCCACAGTTGATCTCCGAGATATTATGACCAACACTTTATTTGAAATATATATTCTATATGTTTTTCACCACTATTTAATTCAATCTCTTTCTCGACTTCTCTGTCTTTAATTGTCTAAAATTCTCACAAATGTACAAACCATAGAATTTGCTCTAACTACTTTTCTACATACTCTGCATGGCCACATACACTAAACATACATACATAGCTAGATACACTCATCTCTTACACACTCTGCATGACCACTTTATAGTATTTTTGACTTAACAATGTATAAACATAAGTTTTATTTATAATAAGGGGTGTACTGGAATCCTGTTCCGGCCAGAATTTCGTCTGGAATTGGTGATATTCAGTTCATTCCGGTTCCGGCTGGAATTACAATAATTAAAGGCAAATGCTGGAATTTTTTTTCAACTTTATTAAAAAAATAACCAACAATAAAACAATAAACTAACTTTATTAGTAAAAAATAACCAACAATAACTACACCTAAGTAAAAAGTAACCAAGAATAGCCAAATCTAGGTAACAAATAACCAACAATAGCTAAACCAAGGTAAAAAAATGATCAACAACAGTTAAACCTAGGTAAAAAATAACCAACAATAGCTTAACCTAGGTAAAAAATACAAATTTATAAATGAACGCAATGAAATTTTATTTCTGGTAACATAATATTCCTAAATTTCCAGAAATCCTTAATTAATTCGTGGACACTAATCAATTAAATAACGATTTCTGGAAATTAAGGAATATTGTGGTGCAAAAATAAGAGTTGCCCTCCAGTTTTTGGCAACAAACTAGCTCTTTTTTTTCTCAAAAATATTACCTGCCTCTGAGAACAGTCTCTCTGAATAGAAAGACGAAGTAGGGGCTAACAGAAGTCTTCTTGCTATACAGCATATATGAGGATAGTAATCCTTATTAGCGCTCCACCATTTTAATATTGCTTCTTCATTTTCTAATTTACCTATTCCTTTCCCAGCCGTAAAACAATCTATTTCTTTTTTTATCTCCTCATCTGTTATTCCGATAATTTTTCTTTTCTTTTTTGCTACTTTTTCTTTCTTCTGGCTCATAGCAATAAAGAAAATTTTTTACGATTGTCATTCTTAAATTTGATACATATAAAGCTAATGTAGATGGCTGACAACCTTCATTGGTTGGTGAGGAATTAAAACTATCGGAGGAAGATGAATCTGATTCTGATATATTATTCATATTAATCTCTTTTTGTTCATTCATTTGATCCTTTATCTCAGACAAAAGCCAACTTTTAGCCAAATGTTTTTGCTTATCAGAGAAAAGTGACAGTTTATACTTTAGATCAACAGCTGTGGACAAAACATGTAATTTACTCATTAGTACATTAAAGTGACCTTTTAATGAAACATTACTCATGAATCTTTTTTCGATAGTCTCTTTTAGCATCTTTTTCATTGATTGGACTCTAGAATCATCTGCAAGGTTTCCAAGAAAAATATGTAATGCTCAAATATGGCTAATTACTGATGACAGCATTGATTTTAATTTACTGACTGTATCAGTAATCATAAAAAATGGTTGTAAATGTCCCAATACATTTTCTATTAACTCCCATTCACTTGAAGTTAATATTAAATTTACTAAATGAGGATGGTCTGTGTAAAGTTGTATAGATCTTTTAAGAGTTTCAATTTGATCTAACATTAGATATGTACTATTCCATCTTGTGAGAACATCTTGTATTGGTAATAAAGGTGTTGAGATTTGTGAATCTAATTCTTTCTGTATTTTTTTAAATTTGGTGCAAGCCAAACTCGAATGGTTAAAATGAGTGCAGATGCTTCTGCATTTCTTTATCATGTCGTATATTGCAACCTGGTCAAAAAGGGCGTCTTTGATAACTAGCTGCAGTTTATGAATAAAACATGAGATACCTGAGGACTCCGTCAAGTCAATTCCAAGTTGCATGTTATAAGCACTGTCTTGAAGGACAATATGTATTTTCTTTTTGAAAATATTCCAATCAACTAACATCACAAATAAATTAGCAATATTTATTTCAGTGTGGGACCCTGGAAAATGCTTACAGTGTAGAACACAATCTTTTCTAATAAAATTATCTGTGATCCAATGCGCAGTCAATGATATAAATGCATCATTACTATGGGTATTTGTCCAAATATCTGTCGTTAACGAAATATGATCAGCTGCAGAAATGTCATTATATACTATGGTTTTTAATTTTTCATATGATGCTGGTAGCATTGTTTCCTTAAAAAACTTTTTAATGGGAATTAGGTATTGTGGTTGCAAGTGAGCAATCAATTCAATGAACCCCTGATCTTCAACTACAGAAAAAAGTTGATTGTCCATCTCAATAAAATTTATTATCTTTGATTAACTTTGGAGGAGCATGAGTCTTTTATATTCCAAACTTTTTTAGGAACAAAATCATCTACGCTAGTTTGTGTCTGTAACTTAATTGCTTCGAATTTTCTCTCTCGTGGTGCCCAGCTTTTGATTTTTTTTCCCTTTTCTGTTTTTCTTGTTTAACCTCATCATATGTATCTATATGATATATTTTTAAATGCATATGAAGTGGTATTGTGCTAAAGTTTTTGGGGTACTATCATGTTTAACATTTTTGTGGCATAATTTACATTCTGCTGATGTATCTGTGGCATCATTTGTTTTAAAATATCTCCAAACAAACAAAGGAAAAGATATTTTTAGATGTTCAAATGTAAGTTTAAATAGCTAAAAACTATAGGATGCAGTACAAATACAGTAAAAATTTATATTTTAATCTAAATGGAAAAATAAAAAATAAAGAATTAATTTTAAATATAAATAAAAATGCAGTTAAAAAAAATTATGCAGTTAAAAATTTACAATAAATAAAAACTAATAAAAATAAAATTATTTAAACAAGAACAAAATGAATGAAATAGGTTAAATACTTATTATATAGCTAAGATGATGAGGTGCAATCCAATTTAATATTGAAAGTAAAAAATAACACAAATATAATTCTCGTTTCGGCCGGAATTCCAGCCGGAATTTTATTTATAATTCTGGCAAATCCGGTTCCAGCCGGAATTGAAAAAACACATTCCGGTACAGCCCTAATAATAAGCTCTGCACCTTTTTTTGCAACAGAAACAAATAGTTTACTGGTTTTGGCCCTGCACCTTTTTTGCAATAAAAACAAATAGTTTACTGGTTCAACCATAGGTCTCATTTTTTTTTAGTTTTTAATATTTTATCAAATGCGGTAGTGGTATAGTGGTATTTATGCAGTAGTGGTGTAGTGGTAGAGCGCTCGCTTCATAAACGAGTGGTTCCGGGTTCTATCCCCACCACGTCCCTGGTAGTACCGCGCTCAACTTGTTTCTCCATGCAGCGGCCTTGTTCGCCAAGGTTCGTGTTTCGGAGTTATAGAGTTGAGAGAGGGTTATAGCCACAAAATAAGTAGCCTCCGCGTCTGTAGTGGCCTACTCGGCCTTGAGGAGGTGAATTAAAATTTAAAAAAAAAAAAATAGTATATTAGAGATTTTCTAATACAGTGATTTATTTTTATTAACAAAAGTAACCAAACCTTATTAAGACTTAATATAGCTTATTATTATACTAAATAAAGAAATCACTTACTAAAAAAATATAAGGCAAATATTTTTATTGGAAACATTTTTAAAAAAGCATATAATATCACGTTTAAATACTTATATATAGTTTCATCTACAATTTCTATCAAAATAGAAATACCTTTAAAAAACAAAATTTGATGTGTATTAGTATTTCAACTTTGACATAATTTGAAAATGTTAATATTTTTCACCTTTCCTTTTGTAAAAAATGTTGATAAAGTTTAAATTTTCTTTTCATATAGTAACCTTTTTATTTCGAATCAACCAGATGAACTTATGAAGGGAGATAATAGCTCCATCAAAATATAACCCAAAACTCATAACCTTAAAACACAAACTATATTCACCTTCTATTTTAATGAGGGTAATAATAATTTAACCGATTTTAACCAATGACTAATTAAATTAGTATTTAATTATTTAACATAATTATTTAATAAATTATAATTATTTATATAATCTTATATATATGTGTGTATAACATAATTGTGTTAAACTTAGTTTTAAAGCTTTTTTTTATTAAATTAGAGGGCATTAAAATGATAATTAAAGTTTTATGATCATTTAAATAATATGCGCCATTGTAAACCGCCTGTTTGGCTGTTTTTGATCACCTTACCTTGAGTTTTTGTTATGCTTAAACCAAAAAATTCTGTTTTTGTACATGCTACCTTGAAAATGTTTGCGTAATGCTAAAAAACTTGAAAATATCTTTATTGTTAAAAAGCATGTTTTTTTAAAAATCATCTTATGGATTCTTTTCCAGCCGAGTTTTAAACATTACATTTTTGAGTCGCATAGGTTTTTTAATATTTTCCATTTCCTTAATTTAAAAAAAAAAAAATAATAAATTTTGATTGAACATTTATCTTTTCTTTATTCACTTAATATAGTAATCTGCTTCATATAACCTTGAACTTAGTTTATAAGTTTTTGGGTAATTTACATTCATGTAACTTTCATTCATAGTTTTTGGATTTAGATATAAATAGTTTATTTATGAAACTATAAACTAATTTTTTTAGTTATTTCAAATTGCTATGTATTTTAGTTACTAGTAAGTTACATACATAGATGTATAAATTTAAGTTAATAGATGTATAAATATAAAGTTAAGTTGTGCTTCTTAAAATTTTGAAATGTAAATATTTTGAAATTTTTTCTTGTTGATGGTAAAAAATTTTGCAGTATCTTGTTTTATAATTAAAAAAATAATAAAATAAATGTATTTGTGTATTTAAACACAATTCATTATAAACCTATGTTTAATACACAAAAAATTATAAAATTTACTTTTCAATATTTTTTTAGTGAGTGTGTATTTGGCTTTATCTTTAACTATTGCTTCATTTTTGCTTGTACTTTTTAATTCATTTAAATGTTATCGGTAAGTTTTGCATTACTGTTTTTATTTTTTATTCATTTATTAATGTATTTTTAAATGAATTAGTATTTATACTGGTAGGTTAACAAGATTTTTAAATCATTATTTGATATATATTAGTATTGATTCAATCACCCGTTTGCTATATAATTTATTGTAAAATAGCTACTGAAACCTTAAAAAACTTATAAGAAAAATGTTGACTATTTTTTCAGATAAACATAAGTATTCAAAGCATTAGATTTAATAATGTTAATGTAATCTGTAATTTTGCTGCATCTCTAGAATGCACATTAAGGAAGAATTCCATTAATAATAAGGTCCAACAATGATTAGTAAAAACAAATTAACACATAAAAAAGTTTTCATTTTTGCAGGTTGTACATTATGTTGTATATCTATAATTACAATGAGGAACTTAATCAATGTTGCATACATATATTTTTTTATAAGTATGGAATTATTTTTAAGTGAATTTAAGAAATAGTTTTTATATTGTTAAAAGTTAATCGTGTTAGCGCATTTTTGTTTCATTTGTGACTTGGTGACTTTAGAATGTGTGAATTGACCTGCACTTTATTGCAAATAATTTTGACAGCGTGTTTTTATCTACTAATTTTTTAATTTTACTTACATTTCGAGCTGCACCATGCAATATTTATGTTTTTTTAGTGTTAGGGTTGAGGGGTGTGGTGGTGTGAGGTGTTTCTTGATAAGTTTGGCTTCTGAAATTGATGAAGCTTTCTGAAAATTTTTGAAAGTTAATAAACATCCTCTCCCATGTATTAAAAATCTAAGAATTATGCTTTAGTTTTTTGTTTATTGTTAAAGCTGTAATATTGTTAAAAAGTTTTAATTCAAATGTTTTACTACTTAGGACTTAACAGTTAATTAAATTAAATAATTTTATACATAATTTTATGGTTAAATAAATTGAAATAAAGTTGAGTTGAAATTGACTAATATTGTATTTTTATGAATATTTTATTTTAAGAACACATATTTTAAAGTTGCGAAAAGGAGATTGGTCTTTTCTGCCCAGCTCTCTTCGTCGTAAACAATTTGATGCTATTACTCCTACATCACTCATGGTAAAAAGTTAAAATTTTATTAGTTTTTATTTTTCCTTTATACCTACTTTGTTATATATACTATACTTCTTTGCTTCATTATATATATATATATATATATATATATATATATATATATATATATATATATATATATATATATATATATATATATATATATATATATATATACACATATATATAATAAATATATATATGTATATATATATATATTATATATATATATATATATATATATATATATATATATATATATATATATATATATATATAAATATATATATATATATATATATATATATATATATATATATATATATATATATATACAATATATAATATATATATATAATATATATATATATACATATATATATATATATACATATATATATATATATATATATATATATATATATATATATATATATATATATATATATATATATATATATATATATATATATATACTTTTTGTGCTTACTTTAAGGTAAACTGTTTTTTTCAAAAAAGAAGAAGAAAAAAACGAAGAATGATAAATAAAACGATTGCTTCCCCATCCCAAACCCTCAGTCGATGTAACAGCACTTCACTGCGAGTCAGGCTATTTGTCAGTTGTTGTATGTACTGAAGCCCCCAGCAGCCGGCTATTTCAGTATGACATCAGATTGCTTACCAAAGTACGCAATACTATTTGTATATATATATATATATATATATATATATATATATATATATATATATATATATATATATATACTACTATACACTAAACTTCTAATATATTATATACTATATTTCTTTACTTCATTATATATATACATACAATCTTGTTATTTAAGTTGGCTGCAAGAAAAAAAAAATACTAAAAAATTATTGTTTGCCCTTTACTTAGCAATTACAAAAATTATTTGTAATATGACATCGTTTTAATAAAAGTTTATTTAACTAAAATGTGGTAACTAAAAAAGTGAGAAAAAACCATGTGTGTGTATGTACATTAGGGTGTTTTTTTTTTATTGTTCACCTTTACAAGACTGAAAGTGCCACTATAGTTGAGGAGGCTGCTTTATTGTAGTTACAAACCTCTCTCATCTCCTTAACAATTTGAGTTCTTAAGTTTTTCGCTCAGCTTTTATATAGATTTGTTCTAGAATTCCTAGAGAAAATTCTAGAACAAATTCCCACTATTCTTTGAGGGATTTGATGTTGCAATTATTAATTATTGAAAAAAGTAGAACTTTACAAAATGTTAATAATTGTTCAGAGGTAATTGTTGTGTAGTGCTACATAACAACTCCTATATTGATAATTGCTAATAACTGTTAAACATACTAATTGCTAAAGCAATAATTAAAGTCATGAAACTAATATGTGTTAAAGCGCAAAATTAATTTGCTTTATGGAAAATTTGCAACCAGCTAGAACACTGAAGATATTTTTCCAATCCTTGTGTTCAATTAAATTATGCTATCCTTTAATCCTAACAATAAAATGTCAGTGGGGATTGAACTCAGAACCTCTCATTTATGAAATGCTCTATAACTGTGCCACTACAGCATTATAAACATTGTGGCAACAATTAAATTTTAAATTTTTTCAGAATGCTGAACAGTTTGAAGTAAATTAATTTTTTTTAAAGTTGTTTTTAAGAAAATTTTTCCGATAGATTGAGTATCATTTAAAAACCTTTGAAACCTGTCATTTTTACCAAAAAGTTATCCTGTATGTTTTGCTACACTTGCTACAAGCAAGTGTATCAAAACATGAAATTTTAGCATGATCACATTCCATATTATTTTTATATTTTAATTGTATTGACCTTACTCAGTACATCAATCAATAGCTTAAATGCCAAGCAGCTTTATTTCCCTATAAATATTTGCTGAGACTGCAAATTTCTTTTTAATTTTTTACCTTATGTGATAACTTTGATATTTTCCCTATCAAAATGTGCTATTATGAGCTAAACTTTGACATAGCAACCATGCTATTAAAAGACTGTACTGGTTGCAGTTTTAAAATTTTGCTTACATTGTTTACCATTTTTGAAATAGATTTCTTTTGAACAAGTCAAATAGTTAAATGAGGAAAAATCATTTCCACCTGAACTTATTATTAAACCTGTGCATACATGCACTGAATCTTTTGATGAAATGTTTTTTGATAATGATGTCATGACAATATCTTTAACAAAATCTTTCACTAACTATTGTTTTTAATTTCTTGGGTCTGTTTGTACTAAATGAATTGAAATATCTAGTTCCATTCTATTATCAATTGTGCCTAAGAAAAAATCTCTGTTGTTGGTTACT